GAAAGTACTTTCTAACCTCTGTAAAGTATCATGTACTTTACAGGAATTAGTAAAAGACCAGAGATAATCAATAAATTAATCTTTTAAATAATCTGTTGAGAGCATGTTCAGCCTCATACAGTCTCAAACTAGTATTTTAAAACAGGTCAACTGTCAAGTTAGCATGCCTCATCACTGTACACAACCTAGCAGAATCTTATTTGATCTGCAGAGCAGCTTATGTAAGCTAAAGGCATGAGCAGACCTTTTCCGTCTTTGCCCTGATAGTCCACAGTGAGGTGCAGAAGAGGCAGCAGGTTGTCATCATCCAGAAGAACCTTGTGAGCCGCCTGCTGGAAGGCCACGTTAACATCTGAAGGTAGAAAGAAACAGAAAAAGGTGAAAACTGCAACAACAGCTGGAAGGTAAAAAAGAAACAGCTTTAAACACTTTTCCATCATGTTAAACCACATGGTTAAAGAACAATGGTGTGAAGATCTATCTTAACTTCAGTTGTGAAGGCCTGATATCACAGGAAAAAGCATGAACTTTGTGATCTTCCACCTCCAATATAAAAATGAGTGAAAAGAGCTTGAGTACTGATTTGAAACAGAAAAGGAAAAAAAAGAAGCAGTACTGTGTAAACATTAAACTAATGGCTCTGGTTGTAAGTTCCTTCAATCCCACACAAGATCAAGCATTTGTCCAGTTTTTCTTATGTCACTCACTATGGAGCTGAAAACTGATTCTGCAACAGAGTTTTTAGAATGAGGGTTGCCTTTGGACCATTCAAAACTGATAAAATAAGGAGAAGAGAGGGAAATGCGAGGAGATAGATGAGGGAGAAAAAACCGAGAAAATAAAAAAAGGCAAGAATGAAAAACTGAAGAGAAAATAAAATTGATAATAAAAGCATGAGGAAAAAAAGAAAAATCTAAAAACAAAACTAAATCTTCAAGCAATAAACAAACAAAATAAACAAAGACAGAGCAAAAACTCAGATGAAGGCGGACCTCTGCAGGCATACTAACCGTGCTCAGTGACTGCGGTCGGAGGCGCCTTTAGCATGTGCTGAGCGAGGTCAATAAAAACCTGATAGAGCTCCCCGCGACCCAACAAGTAGAAGTCCTTGATAATCTAGAAGAGACTGCAAAGGTAAGTGCAGATCCATTTTTAGAAATATTTTTTCTGCAGAAACGATGATCACAAACCTTAAGCTGTTCAAGCAGATCCGCCTCCTCCACCATCAGCGTCCACAGATGCTGTGCAACAATCAGATATCATTTGAAAAAGCTCCCTCTATAGAAGTTATTTACTGGCTGATTTCAAAGATCTGAACTAACCTCTGCAACCGTGCTTCGGATCCCATCAATCAAATTTTCAAAGTCCACCAAACTGAACAGAGGCTGCTGTTTGAGTCTGTGCAGCTCAGCAGCAAACGCGTCTTCCTGGTGCTTTAAGATGGAGCCTGAAACAAAGCAACAAAGGCATGGTTCAGTGATCAGAATAAGCAAGTGGTGTCACAATAATGTACACATATCTGGGAGACGGCACCAGCTATGGATGGGCTGTGGTTGTGGTTTTCAAACATCTGAACGGACTCGCCCACAAACAGGATCTTCTCAGCCACTCGGATGGGGATGTAAGATGGCAGCATCTCTGTTCTCAGAGAAAACTGCTGAAGGGATGGAGCCAGCATGTTCTCCTCCTCGATCAGCCTCTGCACAGCAGCCAAGAGTTAAAACCCATCACAGAAACACAGGATCTGAGATCTTCTATACTTATCTTGATGCAGGATCTTACCAGGTCCTGCAACTCTCTGAGCTGTTTTCCACTCAAACCTCCCAATCCCAGATCTTCCTCCTCCTCATCCTGGTTGGCAACAGCACCACCTGCACTGGGGCCCTGCTTTATGAAAAACTCCTCGCTTTGATCCAGCAGCAGCCCATGCAGCATCCAAGCTGCAAGCTGCTTGTACATCACGCCGTGACACACAGCCAGAATCCTGCAGGATGCATGAAGAAAAAAAAAAGTGGTTTTATTCTGTAAATCAGAAACAAACAAAAAAAAGATACCAATCTGCTTTAGTTTCAGCCTGCTTTCCATGCAAAGCTCATGACAGTGACACAAATAACATATTTTTTTACAATACCGAAGCATATCTATTAGCTGTGAAAAGGACATGTAAAAATATGTTTCCCTGCACTGCTATAAATGACTCTAGTTTAAAGAATTTGAAAAAAAGCTTTAAAATTCAGACTGGAGCAGACTTACTTTTCTAAAGCCATGCGTACCGGAGGAAGCCCCCCACAGCTGTGCTTGTACACAGTCTCCAGGATCTGACAGCCATGAATCTACAGCAGCAGGGATAATTCTGTTAACCAGCTGTGGTTAAATAACATCTAACTGGATTGATGTAATGGTAGAAAATGTAATCGTAACAAAAGAAAGCAGGCTTTTAAGATCAGGGATTAGGCAAAAAAAAAGGGTAAACGGTAGAGATGTAGAGCGTCTGGAATAGAGCTGGAAAATACATAGAATAAGAATAGTCATTACAGTACTACTGAGCTCTACATCACAATGTGAAGCACTCCTTGGTCACAAATCTAATGGCTTAGATCATAGTCCTGAACATTTTCTTTATGAAACTCCTTACCTTCTGGGATTTTATGGTCTCCACCACCACGATAACAGAGGGAAACAGCAGCTGAAACTTTATCAAACAAGTACAGTTTTATGCAACCTGAGATATCATTGTGAAACACAGCTTCTGGAACAACAATCTTAATGTTTAATCTGGGAGTTTGTTCCATAGATTACCTGATCGAGCTTGTAATTCACATGGGATATCGTCAGATGCGGATCTCCAAGGAACTGAAAGACAGACACAAGTTTAATATTGCTTACGCTGCATACTTAGTGAGCTGATGCTAATGGCTGCATGATGATTTTACTTCCTGTTCCAGGTCCAGAAGGGCCTGCCTGTACGGCTGCAACATGGAGTCCAGTCCGGTGCAAAAGGCCCGTAGGTAAATTCCATGAAGACCCGTCTGGCTAGGCTGGTTTGTGTGATGTTCCTAAAAATAAAAACACCACATGCAAACTCATGTTTCTTTAATTCCAATTCATGCTAAAAACAGATTCTTCTAAGTCTAACAAAAATTCGACAGATTAAAATGAGCTGGAATAATGGAGGTCTTCATTTTGGATTTCTTTATGTGGAATTAACAGTAACAGTTCGTGAATCATATTTAAACTCACTTGATGATGGACGTGACCAGTGTGCTGCTCTGTGAACTCTGTGAAGCGAATGTAATCTGAGCCGAGTTTACACAACCGGTTCAGGACACTTGTCTCACTGGGGTGAAGGAAGGGGAGGTCCTGGGACACCTGTGAGTAAAAAGGTGTTTGATGTTAACCTCTGAATAAGCAGAGGGCTTTTTGAGAAAAAAAATCAACCATCATCTATAAAGAGGATCCCTGATACACGTTGGCGAAAATACAAAAAAAAAAAAAAACTTTAAAAATATGTAAAACCTGCAAAATCTCCTTTAGTGTTTTTACAATCAGCTGATGTGAAAAAGATGCTAAGTGCATTCACACAAGGAATGTGACATTGGCAGCCTATGTCCTGAACAGGCCTGTTTGGTGACCCTTGAAGCTCCAACTCCACTCTCTGTGAATAAATACCCATTCAGTTTATTTATATAGCGCCAATTCACAACACATGTCATATCAAGGCACTTTACAGTTCACCAGATCATACAGTCAAATTGATTCAAAGTTTTCTATCTAAGGAAAACCAGTTGATTGTATTGACACATTGACTCTAAGGCAATCCCTCACACTAAGCATGCTTGTAGCGACAGTGGAGAGGAAAAAACTCCCTTTTAACAGGAAGAAACCTCCAGCAGAACCAGGCTCAGTGTGAGCGGCCATCTGCCGAGGCCGACTGGGGTTCAATGAGACAGAAGCAGAGACACAAAAAGCAACTGTAAAAGGCAGCCCCAGGAAACACACAGCCAGGCAGACAAGCTCTGAGCCAGCTCCCATGTCAGAGGATGAAGAGATCACATCCAGGCAGTCACAGTCAGAGAAACAGGACTACAATGGAAAAACAGGCCAATCTCCAACATCTATAAACAAAGGTGTTGATGGCGGCAGCACAGCTGATATTTCTCTCCAGGATGGTGTCACAGCTGAACAGGAACAGACAAGGCAAAGCTAGTATGAGAAAAAGCAGAGAAAGCAGAACGTTAGAGATTAAAAGATTCTGTAGAGTGGAAGAATAGAGATCGAGTGAAGCAAAAAAAAATCCCTTTTGGACAGCGTCAATAAGCGTCTGTTGAACTACTGTCAAGTCAATAGTCGGCATAATATTTCAAATTCATGCCCTAAATATCTTTTTTTTCATTAATTTTCTGTTACACTGAAAATTACAGACAATGATGTTTTTTATCAAATGAAAACCATAAAAAAAAACTCCGTGGAATTCCTGCCTTCATATGAGTTCCCCTGTCGAAATCATATACTTGATAAATCCACCTTATGAATGAAGGGTTTATTTCTCATACAGCAAATAGCGAACCTCTCGTTTGCACTAATTTTACCTGCAAACCTGTCCGTTTGTTCCACGTGAAGATGGTCCCGGGGTATCCGCTTAGCGCGAGCAACAGTTCGTGGATCATATTTACTTCAAATAATTAAAATTGAAAAAATAAATACATAAATACCAGAGCAGATATCTAGTTTTCATTCAGAGGTAAAAACAAACCGCCATAACACCGAGAGGAGCCGGAAAACGTCACCGGATGAAAGTTTGCACTTCCGGTGTTACTATGGTTACCAGAAGCAGATTAATTTAAGCAATTTTTCTCCATTTTAAAATAAAATTCCTACAAAAAAAACAGACATCGTGATTTGGGGTTTTCTTAATATTTCATGAAAAAATTATTTGTTTTTTAGGAATGGCATCTGGTAGTTTAACGTATGACATCTGGGAAATGTAGTTTTTCTGCCGAGGTGCAACTCTTACGTCACTATTCAATGTAGCTAGCTAGCAGCGTCTAGCAACAGAAATAGCGCAGTATGTGAGTTTTTTATTTAAAACGAAGAGATAATTATTCGAAAAACAATGAAGGCTTTATTGTTTACTGCGCATAAGATAACAGAGACGTTGTGTTTCTTATTGGGCCTCCTGGTTTAGCTGAACTTTCTCGACTTGTCTTAAGGTTCAACTTAACGTCAGCAGGTGAGACACTTTGTAGTGTGGAAACATTCGTTAGTAGTCATGTAAATCATTTATTTAGGGGAGCCAGTAGCTTCAAAACATAAATATCGAACAGTTTGAATTACCTTTACACGTTTTACAGGATTTGTAATGCTAATCTAAGTCGTTCTAACTTTGATTCGCGACTGAACTTTTGGGAATCACTGCTCCTGTATCGATCAGGGATGTCGGGGGTGAGGTGTGGAGATGATGTCTCAGATTACCTGAGGCAGAACCCTCAGCTGGCCCAGTGGGTCGAGTCGTTTCGGGGCTACTGTGAGAGCAACAAGCAGTGGTCTGCTCGGAGGGAGTTCATACTGAGAAACATGGAGGCTTTCCCCACTGTGAAGCCGGGGACTTCCAGCAGCAGTTTGGACAAGCTGCTGTCTCTGTCCATGGTCTGGGCCAACCACGTCTTCCTGGGCTGCAGGTAGGACACATTGAACGGAACATGTCCACATAAGAAAGTTTAGTGGAACCAGCAGTCACCACTGAACATTAATTAAAACAAAAACATTCAAATTAAACATTGTTCAAACTTAGAATGATGCTCTTGTGCTTGTTTAAGTTTACTTTGATTCCCCTCATTTCTTCCCCTGCATGGTTTAAAGATAAGTTAAAGGTTAATGGAAGATTAAGCATACTTTTCTGTCCTGTGGTTAATGGAAGATTAAGCATACTTTTCTGTCCTGTGTGTGTTGGTATGTTGGCGCCTTCCTGAAAGAGAGTAATTGTCCACAGATTTGGCCTAGGGCCCCAAGTTCCTGGGGGGCCCATAAAACTCCTTTTACATGTATAGTTAATACAGCTATGACTTATTTGTGCACATTGATTATGTTTTTGATAAAAATCCTTTGGTGGAAATGCTATCAGAACGCTTTTAATATTAAGTCTGTCTAAGTCCCCCCCCAGTGTCCACCATATTGGATCAGTCAATTTGCTGCACATGTTCAGAAAGGTCCAAACAAATAGCAGCAAACCAATTGAAAACAAACAGTGCAAAGAGCATTGTTTCCAACGTAGCGCTTTTGTCGCTATATTTAGCTACTTTTCCGACCCCTCTAGCACTTTTATTACAAAAAAGCGCCTAGTGCCAAATCTAGCTACTTTTTTCTGCTACTGGAGACTTTGGCGACAACATATAAAAGCAGCTAACTCTGCCCTCCAGAGCCTGTAGATTGGTAACCCTGCCTCCTGCTCTCCTCTATTTTGTCTGCTGCCATGATTCATGCAGCTATTATTTCATCCAAATGAAAAATGGAGAACAGATAAGCAGATCATGGCTTGTCTACAGTGAAAAGGACTGTTATTTACTTTTGCCGTAGACTTTTTGGAAACACAGGAAGGAGCAATCAGCTAAGTGAGCTCAGTGATTGGACAAGATCTTTCATTCCTTTTGAGAGAGCATGAAAAGTCAGCGTAGTACAAAACATAGAGAGGAAAACAAGAAGAGAGGGACAAAACGTAGAACAAATAATGTATGTCTATTCTATAAAACATTTTCTATCTGTATAATGGGTCTGTTTTATATGTTGTCTTCCCAATTCAGAGGGCCCCCTGCCTGTTTATGCCTAGGGCCCCAAATTTCCTAAATCCGCCCCTGATTAGGACTTCATATCTCTGTCTACCTGATTTTCTGTCCATTCATCCATTTTAAATAAGGATGCTCAATATATAATGAATATAACTTAGGGCTCCAAAATATAAAGAAAACATCTAATTATGATACAACTACAGAGTGTTGTGATGATATTGATTACAAAAGAACCACATTCCCTTGATACCTTTCTGTTTATTTATTCATCACAACATTCCAATGATTTTTGTGCACTTTAGCATCTTAGGGGGCTGTATGGGCCTCAAGGGCACTATAAGTTTATCCAACATGTGAAATGTAGGATTGGGATGCCCACTATGCATGCCGGGTATTTTGGATATAATATCCTCTTTTGTTGCACACAGTGATGTTAGAATTGCAACTGTAATGTAAAAAGTATTTGAATGATTTAATAATAATAGCAGATGTGACATAAGCATGCAGAGATAAGCCTCTATCCAATATGGCTATCTGATCAAGCCAGCATTATGTTGGCTATGTTGTTCCTAACTGTTTTAAAAGATGTGTTTTGTCGGCTGAATTCCAGTGACTCATTTATTTCTCTGTGTATTTCAACATGGGTAGTCCTAATATGTTTTAAATCACACAGATCCACTCTGGTTCAGTTTGATCCTTTCTGTATTACCACACTGCCTTTCTGTCATCTGTGCATCCTGGAGCCTGGAAGCCAGTTCTCACCTATTCAGTCCTCCCTCTCTAGGCTGTGACCTCCTTTCCAGGTATCTCTAAGGCAGTTTGAATCCCCTTTGCCATCTTGGTTCCCTCAGAAAAGCAGAATGAAATGACAAAAAGTTACATGCTTGTAACGCTTATAATGCTTGGTTTGTACGGCTGGGGTGTTTAGGGTTAGAACCAAAAGGACAGTTTGGAGCCCTGTAATTATTGTCATAATTGCCTGTTGCTGGTAAAGTGTCAGATATCCCCACTCTGTATGCCAGCCGCCATTTCACAACTCATTGCAATGTTTCATAATAGTCATTGTTCTTACACGATTTCCTAATATTAAGTCTTGTGTGTCTGGTTTTTCTTAAAACTAAAAATCTAGACTGAAAGTCTGGAAAGGTGCAAAAAAATGATGTCAGCGTGGAGGGTAGAGAATTTACCAGATGGATAAATTTGGCAAAGAATATTTTCAGCTTGAATTTTGCCATCCTTAAATGAAGTATACAATTGTTTGGCCAGTAATAAAGAAGTCATTTAGCTGACAAAGAAAACTGACTAATGTGTCAATTTAGCTTTTGAACCGTTCCAACCTGAGAGGGAAATATCACTACATGCACAGCTACATACTACTCAATGCTTCCCCATGAGCTCATTTGTAACTACGTGTGAAAGCCTTTGTTGACTTTCTTCTCTTTATCCCAGTTATCCACAGGCTGTCATGGACAAGATCAGAAAGATGGGCGAGGGAATAGCTGTCCAAGACCCTCCTGTTCACAAAACCACAAAAGATGGAATCATGAGCAGAGGAAAGCGGAGCGCCACAGATGGTGATGCACAGTGCATTGTTTATTAGTGTGATGCATGTAAAGTGACCTTGGTTAGAGTTTACAGGACTGTTAATATTTGGTTTGGTTTCAAGGGATTTTGCTTTAAACTTGCAATTTTAAGTTAGGAGTATATAAGATGTGTTTACAGTGAGCCCTGCGGTGATCAAAGGAGTAAAAAGCCTTTAAATTAAGTCAGTTTATGTTGCAGAAATAAGATTTGTTAAAATAAAGGACAATAGAAAAATTTAGTAACCTTTTTAACCTTCTCCATATCTAGCCGTAGCACGACAACAAGATTTTTTAAAATATGTTCTACGAAGATAATATAATCCTTGATTGGGAAGTAAAAAGAAAAAAGCCAAACGTTGTAAAATATTTGAAACAGTCATACTTATCCTTTTTTATATATTGCTAGAGTGAGTAAGATAAGTATTTGAACACCCTGTTATTTTGCAAGTTCTCCCAGTTAGAAATCACGAAGGGTTCTGATAATGTCATCGTAGGTGCATGTCTACTGTGAGAGACATAAAAAAAAAAAAAAAAAATCTGAAATTACAATGTATGATTTTTTTTTTTGTATGATGCAGCTGCAAATAAGTATTTGAACATCTGAGAAAATCGTTCCAAAAAGTTAAAAAACGATCCACTGGACTTTGTTTCCAAGTTTGAATATGTGCCGCTGACCTGGTTTCTGAGTAATAATCAGCCTTCAGACGGGCCTTGACATGTGCTGGTTTAAGCAGGGGAACCTTCCATGCCATTCATGATTTCAAACCATCAGGTCTTAGTGTAATACAAACAGTAACCTTGGAAACGGTGGTCCCAGCTCTTTTTAGGTCATTGATCAGCTCCTCCCGTGTAGTTCTGGGATGATTTCTCCCCTTTCTTAGGATCATTGAGACCCAACTAGGAACCCCAGTCTGACAGTCATGTTTAGTTCCTTCCATTTTTTTAATGATTGGTCCAACAGTGGACGTTTTTTTCAAGATGCTGCTTGGCAATTTCCCAGTAATGCTTTCCAACCTTGTGGAGGTTTACAATTTTGTCTTTGGACAGCTCTTTGGTCTTGGCCATGTTAGTAGTTGTATTCTCACTTATTGTATGGGGTGGCCAGGTGTCTTTATGCAGCTAACGACCTCAAAGAGGTGCATCTCATTTAGGATAATAAATGAAGTGGAGGTGTACATTTTTAAGGCAGACTAAGAGGTCTGTGAGGGTCAAATTCTAGCTGATAGAGAGGTGTTCAAATACTTGTTTGCAGCTGGAATATACAAATAAATATTTAAAAAAAATCATACATTGTGATTTCTAAATGTATTTTTAGATTATATCTTTTACAGTGTTCAAATACTTATTTTCCTCACTGTAAAGGGTTCCTTCTACTTTCACAGTTTGTCTGCATGCATCAAGATGTGACTAGATGACAAGTTTTCTATTAATCTCCATACAGTCTGGAGCTTGTTAAAGCTAAACTCTGCAGCATCTTTTCAGCATAATTACCGTTTAACAGCCGTACCAAAGGCTCACCTCTTTGTTCCTCATTAAATGCTGCTCCTTCTACATCAACAACAATCTGTTATCGTTCACAGAGGGAGATGCTGACAGCTGTGTGAAGCGAGCCAAAGCTGCGCCTAATGAGCTGAATGCGGCTTGGAACATGACTCAGAAGTCCGGGCCGCCTCCTCAGGCTCCAGCAGAGCACCAGCCCTTCTTCAACCGCCTCTATAAGGCTGTGGCGTGGAAGCTAGTGTCGGCGGGGGGCTTCGGTCCCAACCTTGACCACTTTGAAATCCTGCGGAGCTGTGTGGAATCGTGCAAACAGACCTTGACGTGCGTATTTGTGCCGCTGAAGGACATTGCGGGTCTCCCCGCAGGCCGCACTCAGAAGGACGGCCATGTGTGTGAAATCCGCTGTCAGATGGTCTACATGGGAACAGGATATGGGCGAGATGAGTCGGCCGCCAAGGCCATGGCTTCTAAAGAAGCTCTGAAAGTCTTTCAGGGGCGAAAGGTGACAGTAAAGATCTGCAGGCGGCGGTATAAAGGGAGGGACGTGGAGGACTTGGTTCTTCTGGACGAGCTGCCTCGAAGTCAGGGCTTCCCTCCAGCGCTTAGCTACCCATTTCAGGACGAGCAGCTCGAACACACCTCTTCATAGAGAACCTGGAGACATGGCTGTTAGTTACCAGACCACTTTGTTTGAACCTGGATTCATCTCAGAAGGCAGATGTGCTTCCAGCTTTGCTTCGGTTCCAGAACAAATAGCTAAACATGTTTGCAGGAAAGCTGATCTAAATGTCCAAAAATCCAGAACTGGACCAGTTCAAAGGCTCAATGAAATTCCATGTTGTTTAGTTTCTTCTTGTCTCGGTTTTTACATCCTGTTAGGAGCAGGAATGATACATTTTCACCCAATAATTTATTACAGACTAAAGCTTTATCCTGGTGAGTGTTTTTAGTCTAACCAATGCCTCTCTGAGGAACTGATTTACAGGCTAAGTCTGTGTTCATAAGCCAAGTAGAAAATAATCTGTTACTTTAGCTTTTGTTTCTAACAGTTTCAGCTTTTTTTATGTGGTTAACCCGACAGAAAACATCAATCTGAAGCAGCATTGTGATTTATTTTGAATTTAAAAGTTTTACATAGTTCTTTCTCCTTTGATTCTAGTTCTGTAGAACCATTTCATTTTAATGCCTTTTTCATTTAACCGGTTGCTGTACTACCCTGTCCTTCCCTTGTCATCTGCACTTTAATTATTTCTGATCAGAATTGGACCCCTTTGGTGCCACTGAAGTAATTTTTTTGTCGCAGTTTATAAAACAAAAGTTAAAGGTGCAAATATTTGCGTTGATGAAATTTTAATGATGACGCAAGGGTCTCGACTCATTTCAGATTCTCTTAAATCTGAAAGATTTCCATAGGAATCTGATGAGGTGAAAACACTGAGGAGGAAGAAACGCTCGACTGAAGGGTTTTTAATGCAGGGAAATCTCTCCGCTTTTGTTTTCCTAGATTCCTGGATGCTTACGGTAGCTGTGTTACTGTACATTGAATGATTAACCTTCTGTGACTTTTATTTGATTTCAGAATAAAATGTGTGATAACATTGTTTTGAGATTTGTGATGTTTAACATGGTGAGCTAGAATGCTGTTTTTTTGTCACAGAATTTATAGGAAAGATGCTCTACAGGCAGAGGTTTCAAGTAACAATACAAATGCTTTACCTCACTTAATTAGAAGTCTTTACTGTATTATTTATATTTTACACAACTTTTTATTTCTAAAGTTAAATTTTTTTGCAATTATCTCTACTTTCTACTCCTTAGAATTTAAAAACATGCTTGTTAGTTTTGTTTCATTTTAGCCCATTTCCGTTATGGCCTGTTGGTATTAAAAAAATAAATACAAAACATAAAAATAATTAGTTTTATCCAGATCATTTCTTTTTGGTTGTACTCTGCACTGCACCAACTTGTTGTTTGCCACATATCAAAATAAATAGTTTTTCAAGATGATGCTGAGTTCAATTTGACACTGTTGCCATTAGTTAAACAATTAAGTAGAAAAAGGGTTATGGTCCAGAATTGTAGAACATTTTTTCCTTTAATAGGACAGAGCAGTAAAGCATCTCTCTTTAATATTTTTCCTGCGTTACTTTCACCTTTTTTAACTTAAAGTAGTTTTAAAAATGTTACTTCTACACTTTTACTTGAGTAAAATCTTAAGTTGATACTCTTTACTTTTACAAAAGTGTTTTTAAGCAGTAGGATTTATACTTCTACTTGAGTAATACACTTGAATACTTTTGACACCTCTGCCTACAGGGTAAAGTGCTGCTGTGAAGTTTGCTTTGTGGCTTTTGTTCCAGTTGGTTTGATGTCGAAGAATTTGCTTCAAGGAACAACCGTGGTGTTAGTGTGTGTTTACACCTGTGCTCCTGTTTCTAAATATTTTTAAATAAAATTTAACAAAGAAAGACAATTTGTTCTTGCTTCTCTAAGGTTCTTTTGTTGTGAAAAAGGAAAAGTTTCATTTTGGTTTCATCTAATCATATTTGACAGAGAAAGGTTTGTTTTTTTTATTTTGGTGGCATTGCTAAATTGGATCATATATGGGGAAATGAATTATTACATATGACCAAAAGCAATATTAAATGTAATGTTTAGTGTTAAATGTGTTTTTTTCAATCTAATAAAAGAAATGGCTTCCTTAACAAACAACAACTTTTCTGTGTAAAGAAAGATGATTAACACAAATACATATATGATGTAGTTTATATTTTGAATATAACAAAAGAATCACAGCAGGATGAAAACTTGTTAAAGCATCTACCTTTGTAAAGAATTTAGAGATTCATCATCAATGTTTTATCAAGAAAAATATTTGCTTAAATACTGTTTTTGTTAATTTCTTAAAATTAAACAGTTATTTATAATATGCATTATACAGACACTGTCACAAAGTACTGTACAAAAGAACACCTTAAAATCATATGACATAAAACCCTGATATAAAAAAGTTTTTAAATTTGATTGAAAATCCTAACAAAATCAGCAAGTTGCCTCTGCTTTTCCACAGTGTAGGAGCCACAGACTGAAAGGCTCTGTCCCTCTTAGTTTTCAGTTTATAAGAGGTATTCGGAGGTTTTGACTTTGGGATTGAATAATACCAGCTAATGAAAGAAGAATGTAAAATAGTAAATAAAAGTGGGTGTAGAACTGAGACTAGGGGGACCCCAGAGATCACAGGAATAGAATCAAGGGAAACTAATCTGACCGTATACAGGATGTCCAACTAAAGAGAAATGAAGTAAACCAATTCAACTCAGCACCAGAAATGCCTGCAAGAACCTTGAGCCTATTTAACAAGATTATGGTCACAGCATCAAGGACAGCGCTGAGCTTCAGTCGCATCAATGCTGAACATTTCCAAATTAGGAAGTCTGAGAGCTAAAGGCAGTTTTTTGCAATTCTAAAGTGTTGAATGATCGATTAGCACTAAGTCATGTTTGAACATGTTCAATAAAATCATTGAGAGTGATTTTTTTTTTCTGACAGTAGGATACTTGGGAAATTTCCAGTTAATGTTACTTCGCTCATGATGTCACCACATCAAATTGACAGAACAGCTTACTGGAGAGAAACAGACATTTTTTCCCCACGGTTTCATTTATTTTCCACTTTTAGTCACGTCATGAAAAACATAACCGTCCCTTTTTTTTCCCTCCATCTCAGTTATCCGGTCTCTCTCATGCTCTGCTTGAATACCTTTGAAACCTATACAATTATTGAATGAGGCCTCTTGTCAGGTCTAGCTCACATTTCACCCACCTATAAACTGTGTGTCAGTTCCTTATTAAAAATGATTGTTGATGCTGCTTCAAAAGCAGCGACATTTATGCATAACATCCTCCTCCACCAGAGCAGCTGTTTATGTAAGCAGGACGCCTTCTGGCCTCATCAGCAAAGCTGACCAGAATAGAGTCACAGATGTGCACTGTGTGTGTTTCACCCTTTATTAGTCAATGTGGGTTGAATGAGATCTGCTTGTCACTTCCGATGTTGTTGTGTTGTGGCGCATTTGTAGTTCAGAGAGTGGCTCTTTATTTCTATGATGTTGCACTGATCTGAACTCTGAATGCAGATTTATAGAATCTTTCCACAGGCTGCAGACCTATGTGTCATAAAGTTACCCATATATGTGAAATTGATGGACAATGATGGGCAAAGTTTTTACAAATCAAAATCTAAAAACAATGGCACTCAGATCCCTTTACTTTGATACTCATCCCAAAAAATTAGGAAGACACCTAATTAGGTGGAAGACACCTAATTAGTGAACATATGAATATGGTAGAGTGGAAAGATGCCACTATGTGTATGGGACAAGCCAAGATAGAGAAAATGCAAATACGATTTTGCTTATATTTTCTTTCCATTTAAGAAATAAAACTTTTTTATCACACTTTACAATGGTGTTGGTCTTACTTATAAAACATATAAAACACATTGTTTTTGTAGTTTTTTTGGTTTTGTTTATAAAGCGTTTAGAAGGTAAAGGTTGAATAAGTATAAATATTAATGGGAGTCGATGTTAAGTTTGTAGATTAACCACTAGAGAGCGGCAGTGTTCAAATAAAGTTTGGACATGTTCAAATTCTCAGTCTAAAAATAATGTTTGCATGTTCAAGTTGTACACAAGAATTTTTTTTATTTTTTTTAAGCTGTTGGGAACAGTGCAACATATTTGTGTCAAATTTTTATTATTCTAATTTTTTCTTATATTGACTGGCTATTTCAAACCTTACTGTGTGGTTTAATAAAAAGATAAGTGCAAATTTTCTTGCTTTTCTTACTTATTTTTACTATTTCTCTTTATTCACATATGAGCTCAAAATTATTTCCGCTCTTGTGGACCTCATGTATTATCTCTGGTATATAATGATGATCAAATCACACAGTTTTCTGTTTGTCTCCTCCTGTTTCCATAGCTGCCACCACTGTCTATTTGCAATGTCCAAGCTTCAATAACCTTGCAGCTGATTTAGAGGCAAGATCATGCTGTAGGTTGTTGTGCTGTCCAATTAAGGGGCAGCACAACAGCCTACAGCATGACAATGCCTCCACCTGGGTTTACAGCTGGCACAATGTTCCTAAGTTTTAAGTTTAAGGGGAGTGGTGGCCTAGTGGTTTGGGGCATAGAGCTTGGCATCCAGAGGTTCTTAGACTGCTCCCCTAAGGCTCCCTGAGCAAAGACCCTTAACCCCACATTGCTCCCCAGGTGCTGCACAATGGCAGCCCACTGCTCCCCAAGGGGATGGGCTACATGCAGAGAGTTAATTTCGTTGCTCTGTAATTGTGAAAGTGTAATGTAATTAAGTAATTAAGTGTAAAAAATTTAAGTGTAAATCTCACTTCAAGTAGGAAGTTTCTTGTCATTGTTCTAAAAAAGATCAACATTTGTTAAGTTCAAACTTAAGACTTCCCTTTAGGATGAGTTTGGCTTGTAGCTGAGGTTTCACTTTGTGGAATGAAACTGATGTTCTGCATTAAAGTTGGTCATTCTAATTTGTTTTTTCCTAACGATCCTTTAAACCTTGTCTGTTAGGTTTGATAGAATATATGAAAATGACCACAGCTAAATGTTCTAAGGGGGAAATTATTGCAGCAAAACTTTTTTTATAAAGTAAGGTCACATTAAGTCCCTGGAGTGACCTTGATCAAAATGTATCCATTAGGCTTAAATGTCAGGCTGAAAGCAGAAAATGTGAGGAGAGGTCAAACATCCATAATGATGAATGCAAACACATCAGTGCTTGCATACATTATACTTTATATGTAAAATCTGACATCATCTCTCCATGACAGTCTAAGTGATTGGATTCAAGGATTCTTTTTTTTTTTTTTAAGTCCAAGTATGCAGGTTTTTTTCCAAGCCTGAAATTAGGAGAAAAAAAAAAAAAAAAAGAATGGGATACCTGTTTGACTTAAGCTTCGAAAAAAAATCAAATTTAACCAGAAAAATGAGTTTTAGTCTTAGAGATTTAACTTTATAAACCTTCTGATTTAACATAGTTCTAAGGAAAAGTCTAGAAGAAGAAATGACAACAATTCTGAACTGAACTGTCTTCTGCTTGAATTGAATAAACTGTCCTCTACGTTTAATATGCGTGCTGTGGATGAGTCAGCTCCTTTGAAGAAGGAAATGCAGCTTAACATGTTCTTCTACAACGGCCTAATTAGTGCTCAAGTATGCTAATACATTTATTTCATGTAACTCATTGCATCTTAGTCCACTCATTATTTTTATATATATATTTATTTATGCACTGTAAAAATGGTTTTAGTTGCAGTATTTTCATATCTTTATATTGGCTAAATTCACTTAATCTTCTGATTCACAAAACAAATCGTACTAAATAAATATAGGAGCACAATCAACTTCATACCCCATTTTCACACTTTTTAGTCTTAATATAATCTTCCACCAAAAACAAGCAGGAAAGACTGAGCAATGTTTTCTCATTTTTTTTAAAGGCGTTCTGGAGCTGATTGACAGTTATGTTTACCCTTTCACCTGCATGCAAGCATCTATTTTTCACTCAAACTGTAAAAAACTAATAATCTTGGTATTAAAAAATTGGACAGTATTTTTTATATATATATAAATGTAGAGGATTGCTGATCTTTGGATATACTTTTTACTGTAGCTGTGTGTTACCAGCAGTGCTGGGCTATCAGAATCAGATACATCTTGCCCTTATTTTCAGCCGCATGGGTGATTTTTTCACTTTACACAGACTTACACTGGAACTAATTGCATGGAAAACATGTCTTTTTTATATCAATATTGGCGTCTTTTTTAACGGACATGTAAGCATCTATACTTTGCTTTAAGAGATTATTTCTAAACTGTGTTGGAATTTCAAAAGCAAGCATTTTTTCTTTATACTTAATCACATACATACAGATGAATCTTCCTGCATCTTCGCTGCATCTCTTTCTGAAGTAGCTGCATGTCACAAACACTGCTGGACTGCGAAAACCCTTTTTTCCTTATTCATCAAAATAATCCTCTAACTTGAAGCCAATTTAACCTCCAAAATAACTTGTTCACCAAAAAGAGTCTTAGTGGTACCAAACTTTTCAATTCATGACTGATGGGACCACTGTGCTCACTGGGACCTTTAAAGCAACATAAATGTTTCTGGTTCCTCCCCAAGATTCCTGCCTTTAGGCAATCCTCTCTCAGAGGTCAGTATCCCTCTGACTTCCTGCTTGGTGTTTGTGCTTTGATATTCTTCCTTAACTACTGAACCCTATATTGACAGCGGTGCACCTTTCCTAATCATGTCCAGTTATCTGAATGAACTACAAGTATACTCCATTTAAGCCATGAAAACCTCTTAACATGGACTTCATCTCAATGTTGAGCTTCATGGTAAAGACTGTGAATACTTTGGTAAAGGGGATTTTTCAGTT